AGATGCTCTCATTGGTGATATTCTCTGTAAAGCTAGTTTATGATTCGTGAAAGTGAAGTCTAAAAAATCCATAGAATCACAGAATATCTCAAGTTGGAAGGGACCCATAAGGATCATCGAGTCCAACTCCCAATGGAGGCAATTTGAATGCTTTCCACAAAAAACCCCAGCTACCTTAGGAAAAGACTCCCAGAGTAATTTGGGGAACTATTTTGGAACCTTCCACATTTCAGAAGATGACAGCAGTAAGAAAAGACAGGTACAGTCGTCTTCTATCAACCTGAAGACTTCTTCTTGACTTTATACTGACTGTGTGTACAGCGTGAAGAATATTGTCTTCTCTCTAGATCACAAGAAATCCATCAGCAAATTCTCAGTATAAACTTGGTTCTTGTTGAATTATGGATCTTCTGAAGTTTGTTACTGAACTTTTCTCATGGTGTTTAGATGTAAGGGACCTCACCTGAATGAATGACCTCAATATCAATGTGAAAAGTCTTTTGCTCTGAAGGGACAGCAGTTTCCAATACTGGATGGTACTCTTGCGATCTTCAAATTTTTGAATTGATTTAGTGAGAAAATATGGTAGGAGAAACAAAAGAAACAGAAAGGAGTCTGTAAAATTTAATCTGTGGAAGAAACTAACGAAGCTGGACAATCAAGCAGATATGCTGTGTAGGTCAGAAAGGATTTTGATAGACTAAGGATAGGAAATGGTGCAGTGCAACAAGGCAGAGTGGTCACAACACATGCCAGTGTTGTATTGCCCTGTGACAAGGGATTTCTGTCTATGCTGTCCACTTGGAATTGTACATTTAGTAGAAGAAAAGCTAAATCAAGGTAAATCAAGCTAAAGAGAAAGCAGGCATTGTTTGTGTAGAGTTTTGGAAATTTATTGCTAGTTCATCCAAATACACAAAAGTCTACCCCTTCCCTGCGACTATCCCACTAAGTTGACCTTCACCACAAACTTAGCCCCAGCCACCCCTGTTATCACAGTGTAATCACAATCCTTTTCAAATCATCATTTTGGTACTGCAGATATTCAGGTCTGATTTTTAATCACTGACATATTAAGCATCAGCAAAATAGTTTGCTTAGCTGTTCTGTTGGCAATTTTTAAAAAGGAATGAAAACATGTACCCTTTTGATTACCTTGTTAAAGTGAGTCATGACAGCATTATAGCAGTGCTCAGTATTTCTGGTGTAATTAAGAATCTGTCATATTTTTCATTAAAACACATTCTTTAAAAGGAGACTTTTAACTTGGTCATTTCAATCAGTACCAGCCTGAAGTGTAGCATGCAACACGCCAACTAGGTGAAGAAAATGACATCTGAAATTTGCTTTTGCAAAATATAAGTATTAAAGTGCCCATAACATGCACAATAATTTATCTTTTTATATGCGCATTCTCTGTATCTTAAGTACAAAATAGCTTTCTTTTTTTAAAAATTAGCTTTTGCAGGTTTTCAACACTGCTCCAAACTGCAAAACTGAGCAAACAGATTGTTTTCAAATAGAAATAAATGGCTATTTACAAGGCACACAAGTAACACAACTTTTTTTGTTCTGAATTGAATTTTCTAAATTTTGTAAATTAACATCCTACAGATGTGAAGCAGGATTTGATGATTTTTTCAACATTTAAGACTTAGAGGTTTCTTGTTAAAAAACCCTAAATATCTGTAGTCTTGGGGATTTAACAGGAGATGACCGAGAAGAAGCTTGTACAGAAGATGACAGAGTTAACAGAAAAGGAACTTGGGTAAATGCATATTCAGTGTATGAACATGGCACCTAAAATTCTGCAACATCTACTGGTTTGATATGAGACTTAAACTAGGTAATCTAAGACTGAAATTACTGTAAACATTCCCAATGTATGTGTTTCAAGTAGTAACAATACTTTGCAGAGAATGTCCTTTCTCTTATGTCTAAATTCTTTTTTGTTGCTGTTTCGTAATTATTTCCATTAATGCTGAACCCAGTTTTGGTAGGGTTATTTCCATGATAATGTATTAGTTTATTTAAGGTTTTTATACATATTTGAGGGCACTGTAATGCTGCAATGAAGTATTTCAGGGTGTCATATGAAATAGCTCTACCACTCAGGTAGTCAGAGAGAGCATAAAGTAATTGAGAATGACCTGGTCCCAAATCTGACTAGAATCACTGAAATTATATCAGTTTCATGGAAGAAACCATTAAAAAAAAGGAGATATTTATAATGTACAACACCTAATTCTTAAAAGAAATCATATGAAGTAAAGAATTTTTACTAGTATCTTTTTTTAGTTGATAAACTAATTAACTACCCAGGTTTGGTAACACAGATGGAGCTCTATCAAGCATCCACAAATCAGAAAATTTATCTTAGTAAAAAAGGCAGAATAGGACTCCTATCTCAGTACTGTCAGCTCCTAACAATCCACACCCACATTATCTCCCATTTTCTTCATTTCTTTTCAACACAGCTTTTCTTCACCTTTACAAATGACATTTTCGAAACTATAAAATGCTCTGTTCTGCTCAAACTTTTTTGCTTCAATAGTTTCTCATTGCTGTACAAGTAAATCTACATCCTTTGTTACTAATATACACAAACCTATTGGTATGTGACTTTGACTCCCGGCTGAGAACAGGCTATAAATTTAGAAATCAATATCTAACTCTATCAATATTCATTTTACTTTTTCAATACAAAATACAAAGGTGAAAGAGCAGTAAATAAGCTGGAGTACTGAAATAAATTGCGTGTTCTTGTCACAATTAATAAATGTTTAACCAATAACGCTTCTTGCTACAGAAGTCTATGGCTTTGTAAGGTGTCTCAGAGTAGCAGGTGCTACCCTTGTGAGACTCAAAATCAGAGAACATGTTTCGATACTTCATTAGGATCACTGGTCATTCTCTTCAATACAACTGAACCTCAACATATAAACGACCATTTTCAACACTTTGCACAGTGCTGCAAGAATTAATTCAGTGATATAATTTATTCAAAAATTGCAGATGAGAATTTAAAAAATACTTTTTTCAATGGATTGGCTCATATTAGGTGAAACTTTGCTAATTTGCAGCACATATAGCTCAAGAACATGTTTGCAGCTAATCACTCATTTACAGACAGCCTTTCAGGTTTCACTATGATGTTAAATATGGACTATTATTAGCAGAATGATTAATTTCCAACTTTTGTTCATGTAAATACACTTCTGTTCTTTCTTTCAAGAAAAAAGATTACAAATTTTTCTACATAAAATGTAGTTCTTCTATTGCTGCAACTAACTAAAACTACTCAAAGAAGAATAATCAAATAGTGATTTAATTTTAATACAACTTCCCAAATGTATTTCCATTCTAAAAGGAAACCCTGGTATAAAATACTGACAAAGACAAATAAACAAGGCCTGTGATGGAAAAGCAATAATTTACCTTTGAGAAAATGGCAATAATTTATAAAATGTTATACATTACCTACACATATGTACAAGATTATTCAAAGTTTACCAAAGTTTCTTTTTACTTAGAAACTTACAGTGATGAGATGCAGAAAAAAACTTCTAAGACCACAGAAAAAATTTTCAATTCTCCAAGCCCAGAAGAAAATTGAAAAGATTACCTTAAACTTGAAAAGAAAAAAACCCACATATTAGTTAAAAGGTACCTCATATAATACCCTTATCCACCGTTATTCTCTGTCACTCTCCACATAAAGTCAAATTTTGGGGCCAAAATGATCTCTAAAATTGTGAATATATAGCTACGCAACACTGAATGACCACATTATATATTTGCCTTGGTATCAAAATATTGGCTTTGAAAGTTATACAGAGGAGCCAGCTTGTAAAATAAAATACTGAATGGTGAAAGTCCAAGGTAAAATGAATACTAAAATTAATTTCATGATACTTCATACCCTCTCAGCACAAAATGACATCCTCTAGTACTTGAAAGTTGTGAAGTGAAAATCACCTTGTAGAAATAATTATATTATTCTCTCTTCAGCCATTAAGTATTTTTCTTTCTCACTTCACATATGTTCAGAGTCTTAGAAGCTGACCCATACATTCTCTTTTTCCATACTGCTGCCACTAAGGTGCTTTTATAGCATTTTAATATTATTCTTGGTCTGTTTCTGCCACTGCGGTTTGAAACAAAGAAGTTTCAGGAGGGGGAATTCATTTGGAATTCAAATATTAGTCTTCTCTAAAGACATCTATTTAGAATATATTTGAAGAACTGTATGTGTTGCATATGTTGCTGTAGTAATTGATATATGACTAGGACGTACAATCCAGATTTCCATATTAGCAATATATAAAAAGCCTCACACAAGCGCACACACATATAATCTAATCCTTCCAGTATGCACATATATAATTAATACAACAAACTGATGAGAGTCCTATAAATCACTGCTAAGTATTGAAAAAGTAATTTCACAGCTGTGACATCAGCAAAATGCATCCAATGGTTGTGACCTCGCATCTGTAAAAATCTTTCAGAAATGTGCTTGCAAGTGCTTCCTATTTAATCTACAGCACTAATTTTAAAGCTGTGTTTCGCAGCGTTATCTCCACATTTTCAATTGTTTGCTCAAGAATTCACATCCTATCTTTATTGTGCAGGGTATTTATAGTATTCATATGCATTCCCCACAGAAAAAAGATACCTCATGTCTTCTACCTCGTAATGCTTGAACAGACATGAGCAGTAATCTTTACTGTCTATGATTCCCAGTATATGAAAAAAGATTTATTCTCTTTAAAGAAGTGCCATGCTACAAAGGACTAGAAATTGGAAATGTTTGAGGGAGAATTAAGAGAGCCTATTTACTTCTTAATCTCTATTAATAAATAACAATAGGACATAACTGAAGTTATATGGGAAGTTACTGAATTTATCAAGCATTTCCCCAGGTCACTGACCTACTGCTTTGTATTTACAGATTTAACATCTTGTGTTTTGTGTTCTGTCCCAGGAAAATTGGTTACCTGTGGGTCCTGGCAGGGGAGCAGCTTTCCTTCTCCGTTTGATGTCTCCCATGCACAGTGATCCTAAATGTACACTGGTTTGCCTGCAAGTAATTATAGGAGAAAACTATTAACAAAGGGAGAAAACCACCACATAAATACACAGCTTGTATAATCTGAACCTATAACAAAACATTCTCAACCAAGATGAAGCTGCACAGTCAAGCCACCAATCTTGTTTATATCGAAGCATAATTATGTTTGTTGACAAGCACTCAGTATCTAAATGCAGCATCATAAATTGTTACTGGAATGAATAATATAAAGGGAATGCTTTTTAATTTTCAAAACTGGCAATCTTTCTAGCTCAACATAAAACAAAACCAGTGTTGCTCCTGACAGGAAAATAGCTAAGATTAATTATCTAAAGAGATCACAATACTGTTGGTAGGTTATCAATTGGCTAGTAACGCCTGACTGTCAGAACAACATTTATTACATGAAAAGCATTATCAATTTTTTTTAAAGGTAAGATGAAGAATGAATGAGAAAACATGAAACAGTAAACTCTTCAAAGGTGCATGAAATAATATTTGTAGCACAGCAATTTGTCCTCTTCTAATTCACTGGCAAGTTCTGAGAATGATAACATGGAAGCACAGTATCTGGTATACTCATTAAACAATTACAAGCTTACATGTGGAGACTGGAAAATTGGTGGAGCTGCAGAGGATGGCAAACAAGCAAATCTTACTGCATTAAAGCCAGCTGTTAGAAGTAAGGTACTACAGAAAAGGATACATTTGGAATTTCCAATTATTGAATTTTGGAATATATAATCTTAAGGACAATTACAGTTACTATTTTTCTTAGAGCAATGTACAGTGCCTGTAAAATGGAATATATGTAGCCAGAATTTTTTTGGAAAGAACTAGAACAGAAGGAGAGAAAATGCAGTAAGTTATAAACTCCACAATTTAAATATGTCTCCATAAATGTTACTGAGAAGTGTGATTCTTACCACAGAAGTGTAGTGAATTTTGATAAAATTACAAGCTGAGAATTGCATCTGACAGTCTACCATTGCATAGTAACACTCTGTCACTCATGGGATCTGGTTTCAGCATGGATATATGACTTAGCCTTTACTGAATTTATAAACTTTTTAAAGCTGTGCTGCTTCTAAATGAATAAAAAATGGTCATATAATGTTGAGAGACCCCAGATCTGCTCAATAATGTAAAAAAGTGACAACAATGGCTTGATGAAAAAGATGACAAAAATGTACAATCTTCTACATACTTCTAAAAAAGTTACAGTAAATTAACACAGTACTTTTAAGTAGTAAAATATTCCAAGAAAAGTTTCACACAGTGAAATGAAGTGCACTCTAGGTTCACCTAGTGAACCTCTATGTCAACACTTATTTAATTCTCTTTGTTTTAAAACAGACATTTTCCTTCCAATTCTTCTAAGTTGAAATTGTGTCCTATTTTAACACCCAGAAACTGAACACAGTTGAACTAGTATATTAAAACAGTGATAAACTTCAGATCTAAATTTAGAAATAAACCAAGAAGTATAACCCTTTCATAACTGACTGTACAATTAAAAAATAATATTTAAATATAATATGGGGAAACAATTATTAGATAAAAAATATTTAAGGGATGTTTAATCATCAACAGACCAGTATTTCACATTGATACTAAACATGCAGAATAAGTTGTGTGGTAAATTATATGTTAGAACATCATGCAACTCTGTTTTCTCTTCCAAATGAAAAAGGGAGAAAGTCTCCAGGAATGCAAGTAGGATGAAAGATAAAAATTAATAAAGTCAGGCAATTGAACCTAAAGACCTGAGCCACAGCAGTAACAGCTAGCAGCGTTTGAGTTATTTTACCCAGAATTGATTATCTGTTACACTACATTGAGATATCTAGATTATTGATCTGTAAGATTATGGTACTGGGGTCTCCCCACTTTTCCTCCAGGCACACGGAATGGAGTTGCAACAAATAACACTAAGTAAGGACTACTTTGTTATTGTTGTCACCCTTCATGTAGAACATAGCAGTTACTTTTTAATTTAAAATCAATGAACGTCTGAAAGGCAGCCTTGTTCCTTCAGCATAAATGAATTATTCGCCTTTGCTGAGCACAACAACCCGATCACCAGCCAAGGTGAGAGTGGGTATTTCTTTGTCATTGCTGAAAATTCTGTACATCTCAAATAAACACCAATATGCTAGAGCACCAATTAAGGTTTGTCAAACCAGGCTATATGGCCACTAACATCAAACATTAAGCTAACTCAACGATTCTAAAGTGGCATTTGCCTTCACCAGGCCTTAACATTTGATATGCACTGTCAATGTAGATCACAGCAAAACAAAGAGCTTTTAATTTTTTTTTTTTTTTTTTTTTTTTTGTTAAGAGCAACAGACAAGAACTATCACTGCTATGGAACTGGCAGGTTAGACAAAATGTGGTTTTTCCGAAGCTGCACAGTACATTTTGAAATGCTTGTAATGGCGGTATTATAAAGTAGGGAGAACTCTGACCCTCAATCAGGCTAAGTTCAGCATTATGTTTCTTAGCATTAAATCAGAAAAGTGCAGATTACAGAAAGGAAGCAAGCTATTTGCCTGACTTCTCTCTATTTATCCCTAGCTTGCTTCCAGCTATCATTTATAAATAGTGCTCTGGAGGGAAGCTAGGCATTTTATTAGGGAAAAAATAAAACTTGTTAAGACCACCTTGCCTGAAAACTTGGCTTTTGATATGCTGGTGACAGGGACTAGAGCAAGCAGTGTCAAATGGAATAATTTTAAAGGAAAGACAACAGGAACTTGTCGCCTCACTGTATGCATTTACAAATAGAGGCTTTTCAGAGTATTAGGCCTAGTTAAAGCTGCCCTCTGGATAAAAAGTGCTCCCAAGCAGCCTCAGACAAGCTTGGGAGACAAACAGATGTGACTATGGTCCCTGGCGTTTGGCAAGAACACTCACTGTCAATAAGAAAAATATGAGCATGGACAGGGCATCAGCTGCACCACGGCCGAGCAGGCCTGCAAGTGTCATAGCAGTGGCAAAGTTGTGGCAGAGGGAAATAAGAGGGCTGCAAAAGCCAGGCTGGTGTGTACTTACACTAGCATGCCAAGAATTTTTTTGTTGTTGTGTCATGCCTCAACATATTAAACAAAACCACTGGAAATGCCACTGTCAGTTTTTATTCATTTTTCATCTTGCACACAGTGTTTAGATTCTCCTTTCTATGTGGTAAATAAAAGCCTCAAAACCAAAGACAGGGTGTGAAGGCATAACAAAAAAGCTACTGAAATTATAAATAATAAACACAATAAAAATAGTTTTGATACAGCAAATACTTTTATAGAAGCAATGACATGTAAACCAATTCACAAGCATCCACACATTCTTGTGACAAACACTCACTCTAACAAATTTTTGTTACCTCCTCCTTAAATAGTCTCCTTATAATTTCTTTTTTCAAGGTAATTGCCCTTACTTTGGTAACATGCCTAGTCTCTTTAAGCTCCCCAAACTTTTCTATTCATGCCTACACGACACAATCTCTTTTCCTGTAATTTTTATAGCTCAGTAAGCAAAGACTGTTGATGAATACCTTTTCTGCAGTTGCACATGTTCACCTCTCCAAGACATTTGTAACAGGCTATGTCAGATTTCTATCTATCCTGACCTCTGCAGTCAATGGACCATTGGGTTACATTCCCCAAATAAATGTCTGTTCTGTGGGGGAACCTACAGCTGCACTGCTTTAATTGCAACCCACCTTCTGAGCAACTGAGTACACAAAGTGGTTCTGAACTGTTTCACTAGTTGTTATCACCTTTGCTGCTATCAGAGTTCTAAGTTCACCAGTCCAGTCACTAAGAAGGATAGTTCAATAAAAAGGGTGGAGGACAGCAGATCCTCCTGAATATGAGTTCTAGCTCTCTGATTTATTACATGCTTCTGTAATCACTATCATCCCATATGTAAAAAAAAGAAAACCCCCAAATCCCACCAAAATGCTAAAAAAACCCCTCTCCCCCAAATTAAAAAAATCCCATTCAAATTCAGTAATTGTTTCACAGTCTCTTCAGAAAGATGCAATGAAGACAGTGTTACATAGCAGCTTCATGTGCACTAGTACAATGGGCTAAACTAACGAGCTGTGTGTACTGGTGTATTTAATACAAAATATTTGCATGTTTATTTTATGTCTCATTGTAGCAACATGTCTGTTGATCACTCTGTCTGTCTGCTATTAGCAGCTGTCACTTTCCTTGCAAGCGGCAATGCTTTATTTGATATCAGGGCAGTTGCTTTTGTTGGTGCACTGTAATTGTGCCGATGGTTACAACATCACTGAAGGCAAACTTAATTTGGTCCCTTAGTATATTTAGTGTCAAACCACTTAGCAGATGACACTATGACATTGCTAAGATTACTTGAAAGTAATGGAGGTGATGGTTTTATGTTCTGTTTCTGTCAAAAATGAATAAAAGTACTGATTACTAACAAAGGCAGATATAGAAGAGTGTGGGGTTTGTTTAACGGTATTTATTACTTTTCTGTACTCTAACTTGGAAAATTCTATGCAGCATATTACTATGATGCAATAATGTTTTCAAGACGACTCATTTCTATTTCATAATTAGATGAATTGGTAATGTTCAATACTTGTCTATCCTTTATATTCCACTTAACATCTCTCTCACCTGAGGAACAAATCCTGAGCAAATAGTGACACAGAGTTCTGCCACAGTATCAGTGCATTCCTGCAGATGGCTGTAGAACTCTTCAAGTTTATCACCAATGAATGCTTCAGCTAATGGTGAGGCTTGATAAAAGTTTCTAAGTGAACTTCTTTCATAAGAGATTACAATAAGGTAAGAGTTGACTGGATGGCATTTTAGAAGGGACTTGAGAGAATTATTCTGAAGAGAAAATCTAACTGAAACTGTCAGTTCTGTCTTAAAATATAGATATGAAACAGATATGAATAAGGATATGACCGAAGAGAGAATGCAGTGAGGAACACAACTCACTTTAAGCTTGAAATAAGTGGATAATTT